GTTGCTTCAGATTTGTCATGTTATATACCTCAAACTCATTTCTTTAATGTTCACATTCTTGTTACCATTGAGCTCACACATCCATTAAAAAATAAATAAATCAATAAATAAAATAAAATGCAAAGTAGAACATGAGTAGAATTATGAGTATGTCTTAGGGAAATGCAATTTGAGTAAATCACTTTTTATCTCCCTTGAATCCTTAATATTAAAATAATTTCAGACTTAACTTAATGCTACATTTTTTACATAACCTTATCTCTGACAACTTTCAGTATTAACTTAGAACTAGAAAAATAAATTGCAGTTGCACAAATGATGCATGCTTCTCTCATTATCTTTATATTAAATATTCCTTCTAATATTACTTGATTTTTTAGCTGAAGCATTTTCAAGTATTAATTGTTCAACTAATATTTCTCACATCTTAATTACAGTTGCTTTTTATTACAATTTTGAGACTGTCTTTCTACAGTTGTAAGCAACCCAGACTAGAAATAAAGAATAAACTCTCAGTATGACTCCCATTCACATCCATCTTTCTTGAGAAGCAACATCATAATGTCAGAGAGACCTTCCAGCTGAAGTCATTTAAATCTATAATCATTCCTTATTTTTCTTGACCAACTTCATCTTTATTGACATACAGTAGTAGTATTAGTAGTAAGACCATTTCAGTTTCTTGGATGAACCATTGTAAATAATTCATTTATTTACTAGTATTTTTGTTTTTCAGTTTAATTTAAGACTGTAATTTTGCAAAGCAACATGAAATGAGAAAGAATAAATAACTAATGCGAGTAAAATTCTATCAGACAAGTTAACATCTACAGAATAAAACAATCCAGTTCATCAACATTTTTATTATATCTTGCCTGATTAAATATTGGTTAACATGAATCAAGAAATTTATGGCTGGAAAACATTGACTACATGGACTGTTGTCGAATAAGTTTTATCAGTTGATGAAAGTTGTAATCCAATGGCCTACACAATCTTCAGGAACATAACTTGAAAGACAAATTATAACTTGGATTATAGGATTGATAGAGATTAATAGCTTTATTTCAAAATATCCGCTTATAGTTATTATCAGAATAATTGTAAAAAGATCCAAGTACAAGCCAAAGTTTAGATAATGCTTTCAAAGATAAACCTGAGTAGGCAACTTGGATGTGAAGTTGATGATTCTATGGATCCTGTCCTTAAAATAAAAATAAGAAAGGTAAAACAATTCTATAATCCACTTGTGCATTCAAACCCAATCAAAACCTTTGACTTTGTTGCATGGGGGATTTTTATTTAATTCAAACAACCAATGAGATAATCATGTAATCAATAGAACATGAATGAACAATTAAAATCAGTCACTTTAGAGATTAAGTAAACATTCTAGGAATTGTGTGAAGATATAACAGACATGACAAGCAAAACAAAAAGTAAGTTTTCTTTTTCTTCTGGGGAAAAACAATCTTAAATTTAAAAGCTAACGTATGTTTATCATATGAAATAATGAGCTTTGCGAAAAAGTTACAGAGAGTCACACTGTTAAAAATATGATCTCTCACACCTGTCTAGTTTAGTTGATGACAGATGTTTATTTAATTGAATATGAATCAATGAGATATACTAAATTAATTCAGTCTTTCAGACTATAGATAATGCAAGTTCTAAAACTTAATAATTCAAAAGAAAAAAATATATAATTTTTATTTGACTCAATCTCATTATGTATTTCCTTTGGCTTCAACATCTTAATTGTACAAAAAAAAAAAAAACTCTAGATATGTAACTCCAACCAGCAATTATTAAACAAAATATGAATATTCTTCATGTCAATTCGAAAAACATTCACTCATGTTATTTTTGTGAATTATAGGTAAACTGCTCTTGTATCCACAAATAACAAGACAAAAACATAAAGGAAAAAACCTAAACGTTACAAAATCTTGAATAGTCATTTTTAAATATTGTTCTCACCAATATTTAAAATTTTATTTTGTATAGGAAAACAATCAATTTCAACAGTTAATCTTAATATAAAGATATCAAAATGTTAATTACTTCCTAATCTAAATAAGAATTTTTTTTTAAATTATGAAGCAAATAAAACATTGCAACTTTGGTTTGAAATAATCTTACATTTTCAAAAGTTACACATAGGACTTGTATAGATTTTACAAATTGGTCATGATAAAGATGGATGTAAAAGTCAAGAATATATAGCCTTTCCTCTGTTAATCACTAAAACTAATCCTACAACTGGTATAAAATAGACAAAACTATCATTGTTAAGAGAGTTATGTAATAAATATCACCTAAATTTTTAATAAACTGACCAGCAGCAAAATAAGATTCTGAGTTAGAATTTCCTTGCTTTGAGTGAATGAAAACCCAACATCTAGAATACAAACTAAAACATACCATTCTTACACATCTACGGCTCTACTATCAAGCTGTCATGATTATGAAAGATACAATCTTGTGTATAAATGAATTTGACTGTATCACTAAAAATATTGTTCTTTTCACTAGTTTAAACAACATGCTTTTCTTCCTCCTCCTTGCCAATGGCATCTGAGATTTCTGAATTTCTTGGTACCATCAAGATGAAGAATGCCTTTATACCATGAATCTGGTATCACTATTAATGTTGGTATTTGTACAATCTTATATATATTTTTTTTTTTTTTTTTTTTTACACATATACAAATAGAATAAGCTTAGTATAAGTTTGGTCATGATCAGGATAGTTGCTCACAGAAGTGAACTCAAAGCATTTGTAAATATACAGACAGGCACTGCAGATTTTACAAGCACACACATGTACTGAGTGTTGGGGTAAAAAGATTATATAGTATCAATTTCCCAATAATTTTTACCCAAGGACTGAATTAAAGTGTAAATTATGTCAAAATATTTAAAGCAGCATTTCCCAGTTCATGGGCTGAATGATGAAAAAAGAAATTTGGTTGCAATAAAAATTAATTTATTTTGATGATTATTTTCCTGATGATTCAACATTGGATTATGAGTAAATTAAAAACACTTTTCGTTGGTGAAAAGCTAGTAACCAAATGGATGATCTGATAGAGATATCCGTTAATGAAACTTTGATAATTTATTTCAAAAAGTGGAGTTAACAGAATCCTGGCTGAAAGTTTCCAAACACCCAGAAACTAGTAAGAGAGCAATCAAAATTCTGTTACCTTTCACAACCTCCTATCTCTAAGTTATTCAAAACATATTCAAAAAGAAAATACAGAAATTGCTTTTTCATTATAAATCTCTATTCAAATGTGAAATTTATCCTCTCTTCTAGAGACAAAAGATTAATAAACTTGTGACAAATTTCATTAATTCTATCTTTATTAAGTAAAACTTACTAAAGATTATGAAAAAAATGGGCCTCAGTAAACTTTAATAAAAATAGGGGTTGCATATGGTAAAAGGTTGAGAAATACTGCTTTAAAAGGAAGGATAGGTTAATAAAAAATTTAACTGGACTAAATTTAACTTGCATTGATTTTTCTCAGATAATTTTTTTACTGAGGTATAATGGAGTTTAAGAGTTTGTTTTTTTTTTCTTGATGCAGCTTTTCAGCTAAAATTGGTTCAAGTTGTAACATTTTTACATGACAAGGTATAACACCCACTCCAGCTACTCAAAAGATCTTTGACTATTTTCTCTTCTTTTTTAGCATACAACTTGCAATCAAATAAAAAAAATAGAGCTGACAGAAGCATAATAGAAATATAATTTAAGCTTCCATATGAATATTTTAAATAAGTGTTTGCTATTAAGGTGACTAGTTACTTGAGAGCAGCAACTTATTTAGTATATCAAGGACAACAAAATATAGATATTGTCCAATGTACCTATTGTCTATAGCTACCTGCAAGTCATTAAACCCAGTAGTAGCAAATTGGGCAAAAAGCATTAAATTCTGATGCCAAATAACATTAGCAGGTGGATCCTTCTCAGGTAGAAAGAAAATAATGTCACTCCATTCAACCATACATCAAATACTTTTTTTTGTTATCCTTTTTGTGAAAAGGATAAGTGATTTGGTGTCAAAACAGAAAGAGACAATACTAATTAAATAAAAACAAAAATAACATTCTTTTTTTCATTTATAAATTCTGGAATGAACAAAGGATAAAATAAACATATTCATATATTTCATATATTCTCACACTCATGACCAAAAGACCTTCATTAAAATGACCATACAGATCAAAACTAAATTCAATACTAAAAAGCTAACTTAAATATCTAAAGTGTAATATGCAGCAAGCAATTGTGTGTAACACATTAAATATAAGTTATTGTAGATATAAGCATTCATACCATGACCTGTAAAAGAAATTGCAATGTATTTCAAACAGTATAAAATACTTATTGTGCTTTTGTCCTTTCCTTTTTCTCCATAAAAAGCCGTAACCATCTTAAGCTGATGTAAATATCACATATATAACTTGTCACAAACCCCAAAATTGCTATCTTCAAGAGAGCAGGTTTATGAGTGGCTTTGAAAAAAATGCTCAAAGATGATCAAACTGCTCTTTAAAAACATTTTAAAAAATAGAAAATGATACAAAAATCCCATTTGAATTCTATTTCATCTCAAATAATAAAAAAAATAAATTACTTCAAACATTAACCACAATAATGAGAGACAAACTGCCAGTGGACTCAAAAATTTGAAGCTTACATTTTTTGCTAATTCAGATCTGGTCAAAATTGTTATTCCACATATGTTTTCTGCAACATAAATACACACACATTATATATATATATATATATATATATATATATATATATATATGAATGAATAATACCATAAAAAAATAATGAAAAGCTCATTTTACTGTATAGCATAGACTAGAAAATTACCACTCTGAAAGACAGATCTGATATTTTTTATACTTTTCTAAGATAGAAAACAGAAAAAATGTTTAAAAAAACATACAATAAAAGAAAAAAAAAGAAAAAGTAATTATTGTCGTTTAGAATGTACACTTGCAGTGTCTCCGTGGAGCAAGCTATCATCTGCTACTATACTTCCAGGTACAGCATAGTTCTGTCTGAACATGTCTGGACAAGGAATTGGGTTTGGATCAGCAAGGACATGTTTATCATCTGTGTCTTTTTTTGCTGACATTGTACGCCGGAGTACAGTTCCACTACTGGTATTGACTATTCCATTGGCTGGGTTCTCTGATAATGAAGACACAGAGATATCCTTGCATAATTCGAATGTTGATGCTGGTTCAGAATTTTCAAATTTGTTATCTTTATCATTCTCAACTTGACTAGATTGTTTTTGCCTGTCCAGGGAAAGTTGGAGCCCAATCCAGTTGAGCAGCTTTCCCATGAAAGGCAGACTCACAGCCTGGTGTATTATTGCAAATATCCGATACATTGGCCCTGAAAATGGGTCTGAGACAGCAGGACATAACATATTGTTGAGATTCACCTGAGATAACTGAAAAAGAGAGAAAAAAGAAAATTAGATAAATGAGGATTTATCCTTTAGATCTTGCATAATCTGTTAACAGACATGGAATGTTTCTTTTAAAAACTATTGATATAAAACATAAGTAGTATACTTTGCTCTCAAAAATAAATAAATAAATAAAAATAAATGTTTCTGTGAAGCACCAGAATAAATAAAAGATGGGAACAAATAAGTTTTCTCTTTATATTATTATTCTTTTCTATGTCCTAATCCATCCCTTAGAATTAAATGTGAATGAAAATAAACAAAATTAACCAAGAAAAATGATCATGGATGTGATTATAATACAGCTAAGAGGTGAATTTATATATACTTGTTATATATGTATATATACACACTGATAAGCTTTCTCCTCCTTTTTTACCTTGTAAAACTTGATATCATATTTCCCTAGTATAATAAAGGTATTTGCACAAATACTAAGAACTGCTCCATGATGTGAAAGCCAGATAATTTAAATTCCAGAATGACTCAAATATCTATTTAACTTTTCAAGAGAGCAAATGTAATATAAGGTCAGTTTAATGTGGAATCTCATATGTTCAGAAATTGTTTAGTCCCACTTGCTTGGGCTGTAGATATCAGTATAATAGAGGTGCATATATACAAATATATATATCCCCAGGTATGATGAGAATGAATACAGTACAATTCCAATGTTCATAACATTTAATTTAAAAGTGGGCTCAATACAGAATAGAGCAATATTATTTATTTTAGAATACAACACCAAAAACATGCAAAAATTGCTACACAATTGCAGTCATGTTTCAATACACATTGAAACACAACTGCAATTGTGTAGCAATTTTTACATGTTTTCAGTGTAATATCTTCAAATAAATATATATATATATATATATATATATATATATATATATATGCTGAACGGATGTCAAAATTCGTTGAAAAATGCACCCCTACAATCCCTAGACTTAGCCTCTTTTTCAAACGTAACTCATAATTGATACAATAATAGTTAATAAAAATGAACACACTACCACCCCTGTCTAAATGATTGGATTTCTCTGTACCCCTGGAAACAAAAAATTATGAATTGTATGTGTGTTTTAAACTCAGTAAATTCAAATATGTTATTTCGAAATTCACTTGAAGATGAAACAGAACTAATGCTTTTAATTTAATTATATAATTAAATTTGAAGTTTTTAGCTTCGGTTTTTGAAATATGGTAATTTGTATGTAGCAAAGAAGCCATATTTTTTAATTCAGTTAATTTATAATATTTATGCTCTGTAAATTTACATTGAGCACTGTTTTGTAAAAATAAAAATATCAATAAGAACAACGGATTATATATCTTACTTTCTTTTTATTATAATATATATATATATATATATATATATATATATATATATATATATATATATATATATATATATATAGAATGGCTGCAGCTCAATTAGAATGTTTGCTTTCTGGCCATGAAACCCAGGTTTGAATCCAATCAGAGTTGATTTGTCAAGGAAGTAGCTTCTTCATAATATCAGTCTGGGGAAAGTGAAAGTTTTTAAAAGTGCCTAAAAAAATCATGCCAAAAGTTAACCCAAGTCATGTGAGTGAAATTAAGTAGACAGAGCCATTTAGAAGCTATTGATGGTTATGCTAACACAAAGTCACTAGTTATCATGACAGAGTTTGAGTATGCTGGCCTTATTCAAAAAAATTGATCATACCAGATTATGCGCTCTCTCCCAAAAACTGTAACTAACGTCCACTCAGCATAGTTGCAGTTTAAACCACAGGTGGACTTTGTGGGTTGAGCAGGCATCTGTAATAGGGTGTGGCTAGCTGCCCTGTTAGATGAGTGTGCTTGAAAAATCATAGTAGACAGCCATTTTGGACAGAATTGTGATGCACATAAAAAATGAGAGACATTTGTAAGGGAGTTGAAGTTATGCAAAAGAATGTAAGACTCTAGCAGGACTAAAAAGCAACATCCATGCTGCCCATATTTTCAGGATGGATCAAGTGATGACATTGCTCAAAACTGATCTGCAGTCATCATCATTATATATATATATATATATATATATATATATATATATATATATATATATATAAAATAGAACAAATACACACAAATGTATTAAAATTTGTAGCATTTTTTTTTTTTAAACAAAATCAGAAATTTTGACATCCACTTTAACATTAGTAGGTAGCAGAGGAATGATCAAATTAATATAAGGTAGCTATTATTGCCGTGGAGTAACAGTTAGCAAGCTAGGCTCCTAACACATTACCACTGTAGAGAGTTCAATCCTCACTGTACACTCTACACTTTTGAATTCATATTATACTAGGCTAAACTTATTAAACATTAACATAGCTATTATTTGAAAAACATAAAAATTCAACAAAATAACAAAAACAAAGGTGATATGTTAATAGTAGCCAAAACATAACTAAATATAAATTCCTTTTAAGAAATAATTCATTAATAAATTAAATGTTTATTGATATTATTAGTTCATATATTTTTAAGCAATAATTTATTCAAAGTATTACCTTCATCTTGGCTGTTACAGTCACGTTTCAGCTGATGAACTATCATATATTCAGTAATATTTTTGGAATTTCAATCCAAAATCTTTATTCATTCCATGAGTAGACTGTTCTCATTTTCCTGTCTATGCTAGGAGATATCTCACATTAATTCTTCAGTATTTCATTTCAGAGTATGTAGAGTTTATTGTCAGGAGTTCAATCTCTGGGTCAGGCAATAGAATTCATTTACTCTTGTTTAGCAAAACAAATACCCTCACAAGAGCAAAATAAGATCGATTGATGGACTTTTTTATGGCTTATCAAGCATTTAGGTCATTTAAAGTCAAAAAATATTTTTAGGTTGTAAGAATTTTTTGAAGATGATAATGATTTTTACTGATACAAGTACTACTAATTAATCCATAGCTGGGGAGTGAGAAAAGAGGTGGATTCATACCTTTCCCAAGGGTATTTGCATGTAAGTGAATATAACAAACCCAACTGGAATTGAAATTCAGCTCTCCAGTTTCCAATTCTGAGCCATTATCCATTACACCACCCGTATATCCAAGCTTACAAGACCTAGTATTCTCAAGTGGTCACTCATCTAGGTATTGAACAGGCTCAACCTTGCTTAAATTTGGTGATCATATGAGATATAGTGTTTCCGAGTGATAAAGCCATAAGCCAGCAAACTAAGAAAGAATGAAATGATTAAATAATACAAGATACTTCATAACCTGGACAACTAAAGGAGAACAATAAATCCCCACAAATCGAATAAAGAGATCAATTTGAAATTCTGTGAATGTTACTAAATATGACAAATAGCAGAAGAAAGTGGAGAATATAACAACTAAAACAACTAAGATGAAGATAACAGTTTAAATAAATCAATGTTTAATAATGATTCCTTATCTATTAGATTTAAACAGAAATTAGTTTATTTAAAGCAGATTTATTTTCAGCTGTTAGTAATCATTAAGTATTCATGAAATCAGAAAAAAAAAACTTCTTCGCATTTTAGTATTTTTATTATTTAGATTTTTGAGTTAATAAAATAAAATAAAATAAAAAAGGAGCTTCAGAAATTTATATTTCCCATAATTTCTAAACAAGATAATCAAAACGTTCCTTAAAGACAATTAAAAAAAATGTCTTGTTCAAGATAAATTCCATAATCTTGAGATGAGTCATTTTCGTTCTAAGAATTCTTACTGATCTGATTTTTTTTTATGCATGATAACATTTTTAACAATACAGTCTTCTTCCTATCTCTGTTTTAGATTGCCTCATCCTACAACAGTCTTGATGATTGCCTTCATTATAAGAGGTGCTATATTGAGGCCGAAGCCTAATCGCATAAGGCAGTGCTTCTGCCCTTTCAGTAACATGCGAATGGTGTATGTGGACCTATAGGTACACTTTCCTAAGGTCCAACAGGGATACATTACACTCCTGTTGTCGCCATTCCCTTAGCTTGTCCACATAGACATCTGCACTTGCTGTGAACGCATCTATACTGATGTATTTCCATTATTTCACAAGGATTCAGCTCACCCATGTCTACGTCACATGTTGAGAGAATAGGTTTGGCATCCAGTCCTCCAGTGGTTGAATGAATGGAGAAGCTGGAACTCGTTTGCAGGCTATGTGGAGCATGTGATCTCTTTAAGACTGACAGGTGGCACGTTTGCAGTCTACCAGCAGCTCAATGACAAAGCAAAATCGGACATTGACCAATAAAGACTGCCTTAGTTACAGCCTTTGCTATGGATTTGTTCATGGTTTACAAACAATGCATCAAGTGGCAATGGCATTAGGGTGGATCCATGGATGTATACCCAATTGAATTGAGGAGGTGCCTTTGATATGCAGACCAACAGAGTTTTGCATCAAAGTGTTGAGTTGGAGTTTAGCATCAGAGTTGGAATTTACATTTACTTTACTTAGAAAACCAGACAAGATGAATACACTCTGATGGACAATATAGAGATGAGGTTATACACTACTTCAGATAGAGTCCAAATAATAAAGAGCATTTCTGGTAGGAAAACTGAAAGAAACAGTGTACAGTCTTGCAGAAAATTGTGTAAATTTCTTTGCTTATCAAATAAACGATGAGAGAGCAACCTGCATGAAAATATAAGATTTTCACGTCACACTGTGAGGATTCATATAATGGGTTGGCTTCATCAGTATATTTGCCACCATTTTTTATTCTGTTTTCAACAAAAACAAGAATCAGTACACAAGACTAGAGGAAAAAAAATAAAGAGTACCCCTTACTATGTTGTATGCAAGAAAGTTGAAAAATAGATCAACTAAAACATTACAATGACAACAACAAAACAAATGACACCAACCATAAAAACAACTCTTGGAATGACTAAGTTCAAAGATTATGCAAATTTCTCCTTGCAATGATGATCAATGTTCTTTCACCAATTTAACAATTGACCTTATATTAAAGTGTCGGCTGTTGCTCAAACATTACCTCAAGGGTTTTAAAGTCTAATTCAATAAATTCAACCAGAATTACAATTTGCACATAGTTCAATTATTCATAACCAAATATCTGTTTTGTTGCATTTCACAAATTAAACTTACCATATATAATTGAGCATAGTGTGAGTTTTTATGATCAGTTTTTTTATACAAAAAATGTCACCCTATACACAGGTAATTTTTTTGAAGAGGTTAAAAATCATATGTCATCAGGCATGAACAAAAACAAAAGTACAGTATCTAAATTTTTGTATCAGATATTTTACAGTAAGTGGTTTTTCTCACCATTTTGGGATAGCTTTGTACTAAAGCTAGAGTTTCATTATACACAAGCTATATGAAAAAATCAGGTTTTTCACAAAAATATTCTGGGGTTGCACAGTACATGAAGTAGGCTTATATGCAAGTATATACAGTGGATATTTTAAGGCATGAATTACTTTTCTTTAATACAAATATTTGTTTTTTAAAGCTTAACATCAAATAAGCTATAAGAAAAAAATAAAGACCATTTTTTTTCAAATGTTATCTTTTGCTTATAAGTAATCAATTTTAAGATTAAATACATTTATTCAAATAGAATATAGTACTTCCTCAAAGGACACTAAATATATCAAACTACTATATTGTAACCAGATGCATGCTAACTACAAACAGGATGAAAAAAATCATAAAGAATCTCATTCATATTAACATATCTTCCATGGATTATAATAAAAAAAATAAAATTAATTATATAATAATTAAATTGATTGTATTGTATTTTTTACAAAAATACAATACAATCAATTTAATTATTTGCAATAACTCCTCCCCACCAACTGATATATTATGTAAAACCAACATTATATACCAATTTAAATGCCCCTTGGAAGAATGTGTATCTGACAAAAAAACAAATATATATGTTGGGTATACAACAACTACACAAACAAGACGTCTTACACTACACATATCTGACCGTTCATCCATTGCAAGACATCTACAACAACATTCGAATCCATATCCACAATATAAAAAAATTACTGATTGACAATACAACAATCTTAAAAGAAAATAATAAATTCAAGCTATGGCACTGAAGAGAATTAACTATGAATACACTACAGTAATGTTCTGAAATGACTATAAAGGAACAGTTTTTCATGCTTTAATTCACGCATGATCATGACATTATAAGAGGAAAAAATTTCATAATGGATAATTTTTTCACATTCTAATGAACACTCAGCACATTGTCAACCATTTGCATTTAAAGGCATAATGAAAATTACAGTAATGGATAGCAATGCACAGCCTTGTATAAATACTTGTACCCCTGAACAACATAGTTTTTTTTGTACTATTTGCACCCCTGAAGATGATCTTGGAAAAAGATCGAAAGTACTTGGGAAATGAAAATAAAAGAAATTTAAAACAGTTATACCATATTTCTTTCATCCTTGAACATCAATATACACAGAAGGTTATTCATGAGTATGAACAGATTTTGTTAAAAATTAGCAGACATAATATCTGTAATTTATTCAATCAGACATGCCATATATATATATATATATATATATATATATATATATATATATATATATATATATATATAGACACACATATATATATATATATATATATATATATATATATATATATTACTTTCCTTCCTATTTCAAATTGACAGATAATTTCTGCATAACAAAATAATTGTTCAAAGTGTAATTATAAAATCAATGATTTCTTCTGATCACAATTCATTTCAAGGTTTGAGCTTAAACATGTTAAGTAAATAATGTCCTGATATTCAATAGTATTTACATGGATCATGTGACAGGATTTAATGCTTAGAGTATATATCTTCAGTGTTTATATCTCCCATGTTAAATCAATGACTTATTACAGAGTAAAGATAACAGTATCAAGAACCCTTGCACTTAATATAAACATTGATAACTTCGTTTTTATATCTGGTGCACCACAAGTTTTGTTTTTTTGTTTTGTTTTCTGAAAAATATTATTAAGGATATCATTAGTTCTAGCAATAAGGATTTATTCCTGACATACTAATTTAAATAAATAATCCAAACTTGATCACTGTTAAATAACTTCAGAAATATTTCAGTTGTTTCATAGAATTATTTCATTGTTAGTTTTCCTCAGATATGAAAACTAAAAATTGTTTTTTTATCAAATGTAAGAGTACTTAATATATTTTAGTACTGTCGACTTACTTCTTCATATAAAATCTCAAAGTTTGCTAAGATTTTTTTTGTGCATCATGGTACATAAGAAAAAATTGATGTAAATGCAATGACACTAAATCTTTTACCACATATTTCTTTTATTAATACACCATTGCTCGGATTTAAAAAAACCCCAAAAAACAAGACTATTTAGTGTTATAATCAATAAAGAGCTGATATAACATCTTGACCATAGTTGTTTATACACAAATGTAAATTTGAATTGTTTGAAAATACATATTGCTTTGAGGACTCAGGGATTTTTAGTCTATTATAAACCAATCGATGTGTGTTGTGGTGCAATGGATATCGACTTGGAATGAGAAATTGGAAAGCCGAGTTCAAATTCCAGTCAAGTTCGTTACATGCACAAATACCTTTGGGAAAGGTATGTCTCCAGCTATGGGTTGAATAGCAAAGCAAATTGGGTCCTACAGCCTTGGTTGGCAACCAGCCTACTGTAGAAAGTAACAGCAACCTACCACAGGAAAATCTTCTGCCTAGTCAGCCATGAATTGAAAGAGTCATGATTGCCCATACGTGTATCACATATGGCACTTAATTGACTGATAAACCAATCACAAACATTTTGGTTTCCATTCGTGGTTATTTCAAAAAGAAAAAAAAGAGAAAAATATTTTTATTTTCTTAGAAAGAGTAAAGATCAAAGATATTGTTCAGTTTTAAGAACTGCAATTCTTTATGACATTGACTTCAAGAATAAGGAATGTTTTCCAATCATAGTACTTCTATAGTTAACAAAAACATTTAGTGAATAAATTTGTTTTTATTCTTAAATATATTGTTATATTTTATGTGTTGGTTCCAATCTGCAATGGGAATGACTGTAAAACACTTCCCCCTCACCAATTTATAGACAGAAGCATACAAATGCATGCTGGGATTTCTTCCTAGCCAATAAAATAGGTCAGTTCTCAGTTTCATCTGATTCAGTCCCAGTCTGTCTTGTCTTGAAGTCAGAATGTTACATTTATTTATTCAAATTAGTTCTTGTGTGTCAAACCCAATTTTTAGTTTGTGAACTTTTTGCCATATTACTTGCATATATTGCTTGATTACTTTATATTATTTTTGCCCTGTTCTTTTCTTTTTCTTGTTATTGTTTATTGCAAACTTTGTTAATTCTGTTTGTTGGGTAGTTATGCCATTTATTAATATTTAACCACGGCCACTCACTCTTCATTATGTTTACATATTCTTTGTTCATGATGTTCTGTTTTAAAGTAAAAAACATGAAAAAAAAAACCCTGTGAAATGCTGCAGAAATATTATAAGTCATGAACACAATGCTTTTTTTTTAATACTCAATAAACAAGTGAAAAAAAATCAAATCTTACACTGGCAATGATTTGCAGTGGTACAAAATGGTAGATGAAGATGATCCCAATTGCAACTGATGCCCAACTAAGGTCATACATGTCTTCACATGTGTAGATACCTGCAGGAAAAAAATAGAGAGAAAGAAAATATGAATTATTTAGTATACATTTAATAAAACCTCAAGGAAATAGCCTGCTATTTGTCAATTTTTTTATCACTAACAGCTTTGATTTATTTATTACAAGAAGCAATATTTTTGAGTGATGTCCAAATAGGAAACTAGTATTTGATTGCTTACATATTTTCAAAGAAAATTAGAAAAAAAATTAGTATTGTTATTTTCAAATTTTGTCAGCTTGTAATAATTGTAACTGTGTCATCAACGAGGAGAACTCTTTGTTTACTGACAGAATGAGGCACTGTTCAGCCTCTAATAAAGTTGGTCCTCATGACTATTGGCAGTTCTGTCATGGTGTGTTGAATAAGGCTAAGTCTTCCATCCCTCCTCTCTTCACTCAATTTGAGGTGTTATCATCTTTTACTGATAAAGTAGAATGATTTGCTTGTAAATTATTTTTCAATTCTACTCTTGGATCATCTGGAGTATCATTGCCTTAGAACTGAGTCTCTACTGCATGATTTGGATATAGTGGTTTCTGTTATCTTCTCTAAACAGGATTCCCACATAATAAATGGACTTACTGGTATCTCTTCAATAGTCCTAAAGAAATGTGGTCTTTTAATGGCACCTGTTCCCTCTTAACTCTACAATAAATTCTTTGCTGCATCTTGCTTTCCTGTTTGTTGGAAATCCTATCCTGTAATTCTTGTTTTTAAGAACTCAGGCAAACTGTCTAATCCTTCTATCCACCTAATAGTCTTATACCTCTATTTGGCAAAATCTTAGAGGCTTTAATCAATGAATTGGTTAAATATCTCAACTTACAGGTTTGTCTTTCAAATAAACAATATGGCTTTCACTTTGAGAGGTCAACTGTTGCTTAAAAATGGTAATTGCCGAAAGGCTGTTGCTTTAGGTATCTTGAAGGCATTTGACAAGGTTTGGCATGCTGGTCTTCTTCACAAGTTGATAGGTTATTGAATTTCTGGACAATTTTTGATATGGTTCTTTCTTATCAAATCACAAAATGATTTGAACAGACACTTTTCTAGATATTATTACATTAATGCAGGTGTTTCTCAGGGTTCTATCCTTGGACCCACTTTCCTGATTTTCATCAACAACTTTCCTGATGTAATCACTTATTGATTCAGTATCTATTTTGATGACACAACTATTTACTCCTGTATGGTAAGTCTGAATGGTTTAATAAGGTCAAATTGACAGTTGATCGCAAAAATGACCTACAATTTGCTGTTGACTGAGGAAAGAAATGGCTTGTTAATTTTAATGCCTCCAAAACAAAACTGCTCTCTTTTAATTGTCTTGGAGAACCATTTTTGCCTTCCATCAGCATGGCTGATTCTAAATTCCAAGAGAGTGACTCATTGCATTCTCTCTAGCTATGGTTTCCCACTGACATGAAGTGGAATGATTATATTGAATCAATTACTAAGTCTGCTGCTAGGAAAGTTGGTTCACTACCATTCTAGACAATTTTTCTCTCCAGAATCTATCTTACACATTTATAAGTCTACCATTCATCCATGCACTGAATTTTGTTGCCACATCTACTCTGGTGCTTCTTCTATGTACTGAGAAATTCTTCACAAAATCCAAAGAAGAATTTGCAATATTATTGGTCCTGGCCTGGCATCTTTGCATCAGTCACTATTCCCACCACCATAAAATAACTTCCCTGTTCCTTTTCTATAAATATTTTCATGGTAATTGTTCTGATAAACTTTCCTCATTAGTAGTTCAACTGTATGAACTTAAGCATAGTACTAGATTAGCAGCTAGGCTGCACCATTTTACAGTTGAAATTGCTATGTGTAACCATAAATTCTATACTAAGAGTTTCTTCTCTTGCACTTCTCACTTGTGGAATTCTCTTCAAGCTTTTCAAAATTTTCTCATATTCTTTCATTCTCATTAAGTAACCCTCTTGTGTCTTAGTGGCTTTATCGCCTTACTAAAAAAAATTAAAATATTAAACATAAACAATATCAAAACAAAAAAGACAGCAAATAAAACTTTAATGAAAAAAAAAAAAATATATAATATGTAAGTCAAAGTTTATAAAAAATTTGCAATCAGTTTTTGCCTGTCACCTCACTTTTCAATACTAAAGATTTAAAGCAAAATGTATCAGCCAGCTGAAAACTTTCAATATCAATAAGATAGAAAGCAGTGAACATTTAAGCAGACTCTAATTTATATGAATGATTTGTTGTTTTTTTTTCCTAGCAAAGGATTCAAATCTAATGAGAACATTTGCATTTGGGCAGGCATGTTGCAATATGTAAAACGATAATTATCTTGCTTCCTTGAAACAAACATTATGATAACTACAGTAGTAGATGAACAAAAATGAAAAAAGATACAGGAAAATACAAAGTTTAATTTCAAAATTAAAAATTGAATGCATATTGTGACAAAATAGGTATGCATAAAAGTAGTGAAACTATTCTCTTATTTAACCTTACAAAATTGACTTGTTAACCAAAACTTGTCAAAGACAAATATCTGACTGCCATAGCAGCATATGTGTGTCTTTTTTAAACAATAGCAAAAATTTCCTAGAAGCGGCATGATAAACAAAGTACAATATATGTGAAAATAAATAAATAACATTTTTTAAATATTAGAAAATTAAAAATGAAAATTAAAGTTTAACACATAAAAATTATCATGTTAATTTTAATCTGGGTTGTATGATGACTATATTCATTTTATGTTTATCTTAACTGGAAAATATACATTTTGCAAACTAAAAAAGTACAAATAATTTTTATCAAACTATCTTATTACTTAAAGAGAATTTGGCCAATGTTTATATTTGAATTCCTTTACATGAATACTTTATTTAAAATCTCACAACTTACCAAGCTTCAGAATTGGTTGTCATCATTTTGTATACATAATCTGCTCCACTAGTGACTAATTAGTTATACAAAGAAACAGAATTATTCTTTAGTTAAATATTACAGTACAAACCTGATTGCCATTTTAGTGATTAGAATCATAGTTTAACTTAGTCTGGCAAAAGGTAAAATTTATGGAGTAGGAAGATTATGTTGCATCAGTTTTCAAGCAGAATGGCTTGCCTTAAAAATTAGTATAAGGACTATAGTATTGCATTTGATATTTTCTTTATAAAAAATAAAGAGGAGGTAAGGCTGAGGACTGTTTAATTTAAACAAAAATACTGTTTTAGTTTAGAAACACAATTAAAATTTTCCAAACTTTAAAATTTTCTATTGAATGAATAAAAAATAAATAAGTATTTTTCTGAAATGTTACCAACAGAATTCTGTAATAAATAAAAAAAAAAAAATTGAAAATTTATATATATATATATATATATATATATATATATATGGAGAGTATCCCAAAACTTTGAGAAAAATTAATCCTTTTTGTTTCACTTCAATGTTATTTTACTGTAATTTTACCTAAATTAACATTGATAACACAAAGAAAATTATCTTATAAAAAAAACAAAAAACATACATTTTGGAAAACAATGTTAAGCTTGATTATTTAACTTTATGCAAACACATAATAAAAAAAAGTACATTTAAAATTGTTTAAAAACATTTTAGTAGGACATTCAATTCAGTCTTGATCAGCTATATACAGAATAATTATATTTAATATTCAAAAACATTGAAAATGGTGAGAATGTTATGCATTCTTTAAATTAAACTACTTCAGACTGTAACTACAGCTGTGTAAGTTTTTTTTTAATTTAATATAACTTAAAATATATAACTATTCAAAATTAAGTCTCTTGTTATCAATGGCATAAAGTCTCTTCAAAAATTGTATTTTCTCAATCAAATAATACAAACTGCATAAATTTCAAATTAAGTTTTGAACTTGAATCAGTGTCAAGTGTTTTTTTATTCTTCATGTTTGCATGAATGCAAGAGGTTCAGAAAATATACAAAATAATTATATTTTCATCATCACTTGTTAAATATATTAACAATAAATAATAACAAAAGCATAACATTGATTTGCATATGTTTACTGTACATATTCTGGTCCATACATAACTATTAGCATTTATATTGTTATTTTTCTTGTTCTTGAATATTAAAAATGGATATAAGCTTTTTTTGCACAAAATCTTTTCATATCAAGTGAAAGATTAATAGATAGAAAAATATGACTGAAAAAAACATACAACAGCAGTAGAAAAATTGAGTCAAATTCAGTATTTGCAGCGTCCAGTCCTTTGTTTCCCTTTCTTTTCTTTATATTCAAATATTCAAGAAGTAAAAATTTAGAAAGAAAAATAAAGGAAAGAAAAAAAAAGAGAGACAGAAAACAAAAGCAAACAGCAGAGATGAGACAGAATTGAAAGAAAGAAAAATAAATAAAAACAAAGAGAACAGGGAAAAATAAAAATTGAAAAAGAAATTTACAGTCTTTTCAAGACCAGAACCATGAGAAAGAACATATATTTTCATTATCAGTGATCAGCATCACTAACAACATGAGCAATGAAGCAAACAAAACTACTAGCATCAACACTGCTACAAACATAGTCGCCATGACCAATACTGCAGCCAACAGTATCACTGTTAAGGCAGCCCAAAGTACTGTTCGCAAATCAACCATCACTGACAAATTCAGGCTAACCAAAATATCATGCAAGTATCCATCACTTGCAGATGGCTATATAAATGACTGCCGTCAAACATTTTTAAATTATTAAATTCCAAATTTAATTTTATCCAATGGATAAAGAGCACATGTCAATATAGTCAAACATCAGTGTAAAACATTAATTGGAACAAAGTGTAGTCACAATCTCAATTGTAGTATGAATCTCATTATCAGCAGTCAATCTGTGTCCTGAAGGTATGTTTAGATATGTGTGTATAAACTAAGTTACTTCAAAGTAATTCCAACATGAACCAACTTCTTAATTGCCTTTGATTTGGATGTTAGATGTTAATTATTAAATATATCTCATTCTTTAT